ACTTGTATACGCCAACTGGTTAGGTGCACGGTGCACACCACTGCAGACAGTGTACATGGGTAGTAACGATTGAGAACGGGAATGAAATATTTACAAGTACTTTATTAAAGTTAGTGCTGTTTGTGGTATAAATTAATGGAAAAATTTGTAGATTGCTTCGATTTAGGTATATGTAATTTTCGTTGAGAGCAAGACGGAGGGATGATGAGTTTTCGAAGATTTTCTGTGCCTCGGTGTATTCGGGCATTTCGTAACAATAATGGGGTTGATTATTAAATTCACGTTGTATTTGTTGCTTATTGTAACAGGTTTCTTATGGGCGAGGTGTGTGCGGTCTATTCTGGCTCGAGTTATAAATTTATAATAATGACCTCGTCTCTACGTTTAAAGCTAGAGGGAAAATTCCATTTTTTGGTGAAAGTTCCTGTTTATTTGATAGGGGAACGTTGGTCCTGTTCTTCTGCCATGTGTATAGAATTTTGAGGTTGATGGTGACGAGTGACTCTGAGGTTGTGGTTAGGTTTAGTTTTTGGGCATTGTGAGGGATAGGCCATTGTGAGTGTAGTTTCGTATGCGAATTTGTTTGCTGTTCTGTTGCCAGAAATGCCGAAATTTACTTAAAACAGAAAACTTTGAGGAGTAAATCTAACGTTTGGGCGTAGAATTTCACTTCATATAATAGCGTGTTTTGGTACATATATTTAATTTGCATGCATTAGAATATTATATTAAATCTGACTAATCTAAATTCTATTACCGTTAGGTACACAGAAGACATGGCTTGGAGATTGACTCAATCGTCTTCCAAAAATATTTTAAGATTTTTTTTAAAACTCTTAATTTAAATTTTGTATATTGTTGATTAATTATTTAATAGTATTATTGTGTATTGTAATGGTCTTCTCTATTAATTTATTTATTTTGCCGCAAAACGTAACCCTGTTTTATTTTTTACTTAATTAGTAATTACTTATTATTTTTCTTTCAATTTTTAAATTGATCTCCGTTTAAATGTACATACGTTTATAACATTTGAATTACTTGGATGTTGTTGATAATATGAATGGAAATATTTTAGGCCATTAGTTGTTCTTTGGAATGAAAATGGCTCCTCAGCCAAAATATAAGTGATGGAAATTGTGAATCTTCTAATATTTGACAAAATAAGTACCTAGGTAGGTACATTGTATAAATTCAGAACTCTGTCGTTGAAGCCAAACCTCTGTCATCTGTTCTCGGTGCAATGTCTCAAAAAATATTAGCTGCTTTGTATATTTTACGAAACAACTTTAGTGTAAGAGAAATCGGCATCCAATTAGTTGACGATGTGTGGAAAATATTTTTGACCRGTATATGAGTTGATATATTCAAAATTCAAATATTCAACTAAAGAAATTTAACTAATAAACTTTGACCCAGAAGTTCTAAACATAAATTCTTGATTGTAGTCTAAAATGATGTATACATTTCAGTTAATTTTGATTTTAAAAACCTTAGCACATAAAATTAATCATTCCATACGTGCACAGTCGTGTTCCTACATTAAAAAAAAAAAAAATAAGTGCGTAAGTGCGTTTATAGCCCTCAATCCTCTTAGAATTTTTCATCGATTTTTAAATTTTTAATTCCATGACATTATCGAATACAATATTTTAAAACATGCTGAAAGCAGAACTAAAATTTTAAATGTTAGAGAGAGAATTATTAATTCGTTATATAGTCAATAATATGGATATGTAACTATATGGCTGCATCTGAATTGCATGTCAAAAAAATGTCAAAATTGCATGCCGTCTCTTGAAGGGTTCTATCTGAATTACACGCCGTGATCCGTCATGTTTGTTTATCAGGTGCTTATAATGTGCACAACATCAACTTTTTTTGGACTTAATGTAAGAAAAGCGGGTAAGTGGGTATCGCTCTGCTGTACATTGGGGGTGGGGTGGACTAAGGTAGGTTAAATTTGAATGTAATGATATAGGTATCATTGTAGGTATACGAAAAACGATTCTGAACGGAGACGGTTTATCTGTCTAGAATATAGATTATTAAAAATTTTCAAATCCTAGATTTAAAAAGAAAATTTTTTATGAATTTCTAGCTTAAAATAATTTGTGAATTTTCGTGATTTTTACATAATATGTTGTCAAAACTCAAACTTTGAATGCTTTTAAAAAAAAATGTGACTATGCATTTCTTTGATTTTTCAACTGCTATTGTAAAAATATATTATGAGCCTTGTATTAAATTCTCAAATCTTAAAATTAAAAATAAAAACTTTTATGAATTTCTATCTAAGATAATTTGAACATTGCCGTAATTTTTACGTATTTAGTCATTTTTCCCGTTTTTCTGTCATTTTTTTTTTTGTTTTTCTCGATTTTTTTTTGAAAACTGTTGGAAAATGTTTACTTTTCACCTCTATAATGCACCAAGGATATTCACTTTTACATCGGAAACCACCCCCAAAGTTTGAAATTGAAGCATTATTTCGACTAGTTATGCTGTACACAGACACAAAAACAAACATAAAAAAAAAACACACACATCATTGTAAAATCAATATATTCATCACTTCGTTCAGAATCTTAAATACACATCATTATAAAATCAATACATTCATTACTTCGTTCAGAATCTAAAAAAGAAAGAAATGCATGTTTGCATGTATAGTGTATAGAAGTGCTCTTTTATGATTGTTACAACTGATAAGTTTCTAGACTGAAATATTTTTATATTTTTATAAATTTTTTTGCCCAAATTATCTACTTTCACTTAAGTATTTTAAGTATCTCAAATTTATAGGCATGCAGTTTGAACATTCCAATTTATATGTTTTTTTGGCATGCAATTTGGATGCACCGGTAACTATATGTAAGCAGGTGTTAGT